GGACCTCAAGCACAACCTAATCAGCACCATCGTGCCTGGAGCTTTCCAAGGCCTGTCTGAGCTTCGGAAACTGTAAGTAGATAATAGCCTGTTTAACAGGTTCAGTGCAACAAACATACAAACAGAAAGCCTAAACACAGACTCGGGTTTGGACTTCTTGCTATGGAAAAGCAGAGATCCGAGTTTGTTTATGGTTGCTCATAAGTAGCTGAGTGAAACTGAAATATACACAGTTTACAACAGTTGTCATGCAATAAACTAAGCTATTAGAGTGGCCATAAAAGCCTCATTTACTAAACTTATGTGCTGTGAAGGCCCAGGCATGCCATCTTTATCATTTCTGAAGGGATCATGCAGAGGCTCCTCACAGGTCATGCAATGTGACAGAACGACCCTTTGCAGCCGCTCTCTCCTCGTATTTCTGGACACCGGTGTTTAGTTGTGGTGTGGGTCGAAAGAGTTTGTCTGCGCTGCACCGTGTGACTCCTCATCCCTCCTCCCCCTTCTTGTATTTTCCCTGCAAGGTCTGGGGCTTCTCAAAACAAACAGGGGGGAGATAAACACATGCTTTGGACAGCTCTCCGCTGGGTAGTGTCAGGGGTGCAACAGAGCAGATCCCTCTCGGGCTGCAGCTATACATCACACTCAGGGGTAGACGGCAGAACAGGGGCCCTGCTTTACCCCACGGATGATAAACGTCTACTCAGTTACCACGAGGTCCTGATGAGGGGAAGTGCTTGATTTTGAAATTCAGGCAACATCTAGACTTGAGTAATCATGAGGTTCACCAGCTGGTTGATTGAACATGCAATACTTGATCTAATAATGCAGCGAGTGAGTCAGGACTTAACAATTTGTTGCTGAGGAGTTATTCATTTGAAAATAGCTAACACATTCCTTTGTTTTTCACACGTTTAGCGACCTCTCCAACAACCGCATCGGCTGCCTGACTGCAGACATGTTCCACGGGCTGACCAATCTCACTAAACTGTGAGACTCTGATTACTTGTAGCACCTTCTGACTTGTTGTGAAGCTATGAAGGAGCTTGTTAATGTCTGTTTTGTTTTCTGTTAGCAACCTCTCTGGAAATATCATATCGACCCTGGAGCCAGGAGTGTTTGAGGAGATGCCGTCTCTGAAATTAGTGTAAGTGTAATGATACAGAGTGATACCAATGGCATGGTTACAATGTAGCAATCATATTACTGAAAATATGCAATTTAAAGGGGTCCTAGAATTTAAAACCACATTTACCTTGTTGTTGTTGAATATAAGCAGTGTGGGGTATCTAATGTAGCATACTAAAATGTGTCACGTTTCTGGCCCTTTGTAGTATAAACTACAAGTGAAACTAAAGCAAACATCGATACCATACAGCAGTTTGTGTTTTAATATTGTGGTGTTTCATAAACTAAACCCAGCTCCATGTACTCCTTTTCCTCTCCTTTCCCCTCTGGACGAACCGTGTGATGGTGGGTCTTGTAGTTTTATAAAATGAAAATTAAACCATTAGTTGAATGGAAGCTTACATATCAAGCTACTGTTATCTTAAACATTTTATTTTGCTACCAGAGCAGATTGAGATGATGATGCCTCACTTAGATCACTGTTGCTGGTTTGATCATCACCCAGTTACCCATCCCATTTAGTGAAGGCTTCCTCTCTGCTATGCTGCTTGCTCTGTTCAGCTCGCCCACATTGACTGATGACATTCACTCTTGCGCCGGCACACGGCACAGGTACCAAAAAAAGGCACAGTTTTGTATGACGTGAATAACGTGGATGTGGTACTCAGTCGGTACTGTGGAATTCAGTCGGTACCGTAAAAAGTACCGAATTCGGTACCCATCCCTAGTACCAACCCACTTCAACATGGACTAAAAAACGTTGGTCGTGGTAAAGCTAACCACAGACCAACACTAGTTTGAGCGACTGCTAATGCTAGCCTAAACCGTTAACGCCAGCCCAAACTGCTAACACTAGCCTGATCTATGCTGCTACTGCTTGTGTCCTTCTTGGAGGAGAGGAAAAAATACAAAGAATGTTGGAGCACCATTAACATTCCAGGATTTACCGTGAATATTCTGACTATGAATTAATACTATGTCGCACCTGTCCTTTGGAATGCCCTTCCCATCACCATACGGCAGTCTTCATCGCTCTCACACTTCAAGTCAAGACTGAAGACTCATTTCTGTGAATCAGCTTTTGGATTATGACCCTTTTTTATGCCCGTTTTTACTGTCTTGTGTTGTTTTTTTGGTTGTTTTACTTGTTTTTACTGCTTGTTTAAATCCGTTTTTATTGAACTGTTTTTATTCTGTTTAATTCTGATCTTCTGCAAGGCGCTTTGGTCGGCTTTCATGCTGTGTTTAAATGTGCTGTTACATATAAATTGGTTATGGATCCACAGCTTGCTGTCCGGTCAGGTGTTTGTCCTCTTCTTCGTTTGTCCACAAACCGTCTACAACAGGGATGGGCAATCCTGGTCCTCGAGGGTCACTTTACAGCAGGTTTTAGTTGTTTCTCTGCTTACCTGGTTTGAATCTGCTGGTGATTAACAAGCTTCTGCAGAGCCTAGTGAGCTGCTGAACAGGTGGTTTATCCAGGACTCAGGTGTGTTGGAGCAGAAAAACAACTAAAACAGGCTGGATAGCAGCCCTCGAGGACCAGGGTTGCCCATCTCTGCTCTACAACCAGCGAGACAGTCACTTTGGTCCTCGTTTGTCCACACGCCCACACCAAGACACCGGACAGCTCGACTCTCACTTTCTCCCCCCTTTTTTTTAATAATTAAAGTTTTTATTATTTTCAGATTTTTTATTACATACAAGAATATTCAAAAGCAAAAGAAAATACACAGGTTTGTGAGCGCCCCCCCCCCCCCCACCCCCCACCCCCCCCGCTTTTTTTTCCCAGGGTACCAACGATTCTCAGAGTTTCGGGTTCAGCTATCACAGCTACATAGACCAGTGGCCATTCTTAATTTGGGGTCAGTTAGGAATCCAAATCCAGGCAGTGAGGCGTTAGATTTCAACGTTTGGGGAACATTTTTCAATGTTCCCCAAAAGCTGTTCCAATCTGTGTCCTTGTCCCCTTTCAGGTTGCTGAGCATGGCCTCATAAACAGCTGTTTCCGCCATCGCCGCAATCCATTCATCAATCCCAGGGTGCACTTTAGTCTTCCAATGTCTTAATATAATCCTGGATGCTGTAACTAGTCCGACTGTAATGATACAGAAGGTTCCTCTTGAAACATTTGGTATTTGGGATCTGTCTCCCAGTAAGCATAGATCCGGGGTCTGAGGGACTTCTATGCCAGACCAAGCACCCAGGATTTCCAGGACATCAGTCCAAAAGGGTAAAACAATAGAACATTCCCAAAAACAATGTAGATATGTCCCCATTTCACTGTTACATTTCCAACACAAATCATTTGGCATTAGTTTCATTCTATGCAACCTGGTAGGAGTATGGTAGTATCTATGCAACACCTTGTACTGTATAAATTTACTTCTAGCCTCTTTCACATATTTACCACTGTCTGATAAGATATTTAGCCATTTTTCATTTGTGTAGTCTGTTTCTAAGTCCCGCTGCCAAAGTAGTTTGACGCCTGAAGACTCCCCACTGAAACCATGATTAAACAGTTTATAAAACACCGAAGCAGTGTGGCGATCACGTGGCATTTTAATATAACCTAAAATATCATTCTCAGGAACTTCCTTAAATTTAGAAGTCACACAATGTCTCATTTGGAGGTATTTCCAAAAATATCCTTTACCTTGAAATTTGTAAGTACGGGTTAGATCCTCGTAAGACATAAAGTTTCCATCTTTATACAGATCTCCAATATTACATATACCACGTGAGTGCCACTGTCCCCAAAACACCGGTACTTTACCAATACATATAGCAGGGTTATTCCAAAGAGACGCATACTTCTGGACATAATGTGTTTTTCTTTATCTTCCTCCCAGTATTTAACTAGTTTTGCCATTTCAAATGATAGATAATGGAGCTTTGGGTCCAAAAGTCCCAATCCACCTTTCTCTCTGGGGGCATACAATTTCTCCATTTTTATTCTTGCTCTTTCACCCTCCCACAAGAAATGTTTAACCAAATGTTCATACCTTTTAAAAAAGTCCTGAGGAATAGAAATAGGTAGCATCATGAGCATATAATTGAGCTGGGGTGCTATAATCATTTTAATAATATTAATTTTGCCCCATAAAGTCAATTTTAATGCCTCCCACTTTTCAAAACTTGTTTTGATTTTTGACAAAACTGGGTTTAAATTTAGTGAAGGCAGTTCACCTAGCTCTTGGCATAATTTAATCCCCAAATATTTCATGGCTTTAGGTGTCCATTTAAATTGAAATTTCTCCACCATATGTGAATAGCACAGACCCGACAATGGCATAGCCTCAGACTTGGACCAATTAATTGTATATCCAGAAACTTTTGAGTAGGATTCTAGAGTGTCCATTAAATGTGGTTAAGTAAGTGGACTAGTTATCGTTGCTAGAATATCGTCTGCATAAAGAAGTAATTTGTGTTCAACTTGGCCCGTTCTTATACCTCCAATATCACTATTTGACCTAATACTCACAGCTACCGTTTCTATAAATATAATGAGTAATAGAGGACTGAGAGAACACCCCTGTCGGGTCCCACGTGACAAACTGAAAAAAGGTGAAATAATTTTGTTGGTTATAACTGCCGCCCTCGGCTCTTTATACAATATTTTAACCCAATTTATAAATTGTGACCCAAATCCAAAATTTGATAAAGCAGAAAAAAGAAAACCCCATTCAACTTTATCAAACGCCTTCTCTGCATCTAAGGAGAAGGCAGCTACAGGCTCATCCTTTGACTGGCTCAACCACATTAAATGCAGCAGTTTCCTGACATCATCCACTTAAGAACGGTTTCTTATAAATCCTGTCTGGTTCAGGTGTATGATATTAGGAAGGACTTGTTGTAAGTGCATGGCTAACACCTTAGTAAGTATCTTACAATCAGAGTTCAACAAACTAATCGGCCTGTAATTTGATGGATCTGTACTATCCCTGTCTGTTTTTTTTTTTTTGGAATCAAAGAAATCAGTGCTTTGTTCAATGTGGGAGGGAGTTGGCCTCTTTCTAAAGATTCTTGGAATACTTTTTGTAAAACCGGGGAAAGAATGTCTATATACTCTTTATAATACTCGGCCGGAATGCCATCGTAGCCTGGAGATTTCCCCCTTTTCATTAGTGAAATCGCTTTTCTAATTTCTCCTTCTGTTATTGGACCCTCTAACAACTCTGCCTGTTCCTGAAGCAATCTAGGTAGACTGAGTTTAGAGAAAAAATAATCACACCCTTCCTGGCTCTCAGCATCAGTCACCATGGACGCATAGAATGTTTCATAATATCGCTTAAAGACATTATTTATATCTTTTTCTGAGGCTACCAAAGAATTACCTTGTTTAATAGCAGGAATACTGTTTGAGTAATCCTCCTTTTTAACTTGTCTTGCTAGTACCTTCCCCATTTTTCACCTCCCTCATAAAATGTAGTTTTTAATCTAAACAAGGAGTATTCCACTTTCTTATTATATATTTCATTAAACTGAATCTTAAGCCCACAGATGTCTCTATAAATTAATTTGCTATACTGAATAGACAGAATATTTTCTCTCAATTTAATTTCCTTCTCCAATTCTTGAATCTTAAGGACACTATCTTTTTTTTAAGCGTATGCTATCAATTTGCCCCTCACATAAGCCTTAGAGGCTTCCAAAACACTTTGAATATATTCCGTACTACCAATATTTACTTCAAAGAAATGTTTAAGATCTTCACCCAAACACTCCTTAAATGATTTATCCTGTAATAGCGAGACACTCATCCTCCACCTTGAACCTCTTTTATTCTCCAGTCCTAGTTTAATACTAACTTCAACTGCTGCGTGATCAGTCAGTGCAATTGTTTTTATATCACAGCTTATTGCATTAGATAACATAGATTTAGAAATTAAAAACAGATCGATCCTAGAATAAGATTTGTGGCAATGAGAGTAAAATGTGATGGATTAATTAACCTCCACACATCGATTAGGCCCATATCTTCCCTTAACGTATGAACTGCTTCTCTTCCCTTAGAACTAATTGAGCCTTTAGATGAACTTCTATCCAAAACAGGATCCATTACTTCATTCAGATCACCTGCTAGTATTATTTGTCCATCCATGTCTCCCAATACCCTGTTTATCGAATGAAAAAAAGAGGGTCTTCTTTATTGGGGGCATAGATGTTACACAATATTAGCTTTACTCCCTCTACCAAAGCTTGGACACATACCATTCTTCCTTCTGTATCTTTAACTTCTTTAATCAATGAAAATCAAATACTTCTTTTAATAAGTATAACTACCCCATTGCGAGCACTCGAATAGGAACTATGAAAAATATGATTTACCCCACCACCTTGGAACCTCAGTTCTTCACCGTCCTTTAAGTGGGTTTCTTGAAGAAAAATTATATCAGCTTGTATTGACTTTAAATAAGATAGTAATTTACGCATTTTGGTTGTATTTCTACACCCATTAATATTCCAAGATATACATTTTACATATTTCCCTGTCATTTCCAATTGTAAGTTCCAATAGGATTTAAACCCGCAACCATGCTAGACAAAATAAACCTTTCCTCTCCTGAAGAAAAGACCCACTGTATGGGTGCACACAGCCAAAAACATAACAAATAAAAAAAAACATTCCCATGAACAGGGCCTAAACAAAAACCTTATCGGGTCCGTAGGATGCTGCTCTGCTTCTCCCCTCCTAAGATGACAGATGATGAGATCTGCCCTCTCCAACAGTCAGACACCAGATGTCTCAGGCTCCTCGAGATTACGTCATCAATCAGTCGAATTTGGGGTCTCCCCTCCTTGCACCCTCTTCTCCTGCTCATCCTCGTTGCTGAAAAACTTTTCAGCTGCCTTTGCCAGTTGAAGCTTACATTCCCCCCCCCCCCATCCACTTTACACGTAGTGTTGCCGGGAACGCCAGGGTATATTTGACATTGCGCTCCTGAAGCCTTCGTTTCACAGCGTTAAAAGCCTTCCTTTTTCCCCCCTTAATTTGCATTTTGTACAATCGAAATTGATACTATGTTCTCTGTATTTGACCCATCCTCTGGGGGAGCGGTGAACTGCAGACATGGCTTCAATTGGGAACCATTTGGTGGTTTAATCGAACCAATCGTTACTTTAATGCCAAAACCAATCATGTTTTAAATAAATCTAAATATTTAATCATAGGTGTTGACTTGAACTTGAATTGACTGAACCTAAGCTCATTTTTTTCTTACAGGAACTTCAACTCAGACTACCTGTCATGTGACTGTGGGCTGCGTTGGGTGCCGACCTTCTTTCGCAGCAGCACGGCGCGGTTAGGAGATGAAACGCTGTGTGCCTATCCCAGTAGCCTGAGGGGAATGCCCCTTCGTGCGCTGAAGGAGAGCCAGCTGAGCTGTGGTGAGGACCTTGGCTGCAGGGAGACACATGAATGAGGCGGTTTGCCACTTTATTTCAGAGAGAATTACCCAGTGAATGACAGTCGCACTGTAATGAAGCTTGAGTCCATTCTGGACGTCCTGTCTCAGCAGGGACATGTTAACTAAATGTGTGAGAACTCTGTGTTGACAGCTAGCCCCATGGGTTTTATTGACAAATTGTTGCAGTCTGCATCCAATATGCTTCTGTGGAAGCATTTACCAAAAGTTCAATGGTTTAAAACAATTTACAGTGAAATGTGACAGCCATATCTGGGACTATTCCCACCGTGTTCCTCAGAAGGTCCACCGGAGCTGCACACCATGTCCCTGCTGCCATCCCAGCGTCAGGTGGTCTTCAGAGGAGACCGGCTGCCCTTTCACTGCACTGCTGCCCTTGTGGACAAGATCACCAGCTTACACTGGCGCCACAACGATCAAGAGGTGACATCCAACCCAGACAAGGGTGTCCAGCTGGAGAATAATGTGGTGCATGACTGTACCTTTATCACCAGGTACAGAAAATAAAATCTGGTTCAGCTTTGACTTTCTTTTTCATGTTCTTCTCACATGTGTTTTGTGTTTATTCCTGAGTACATTGTTCTAATTTAGCATTTGGGGATAATGTGTTATGATGACCTAACATGTCTTCATTCAGTGAGCTGATACTATTCAACGTCCATGTGGAGGCCAGTGGGGAGTGGGAGTGTGTGGTCACCACTGGGCGGGGCAACACCTCCCGCACTGTTGAAATAGTAGTGCTGGAGAACAGCGACACCTTCTGTCCTGAAGACAAAATCATCAACAACCGTGGAGAGTTCAGGTTTGGCATAGTAACATCAAACTGTACGAGTGGCTTCGAATGAATTTAGTATTTCACTGGGTGTTTATTTTGGTTCCACAGGTGGCCGAGAACGGTGGCAGGCATCACCTCTCATCAGTACTGCCTGCAGCCGCATCACCCCTCCCTGACAGTCGAGGGGGAGCGGGAGCAGAAAAGAGCGTCTCGGTATTGTGACCGCTCTGGAAAGTGGCAAGAGGGCGACTACTCAGAGTGTCACTACACCAACAGCATCACTCGTGTTCTGCACACTTTCATCCTGGTCAGTACCACAGAACAAAGGTCTTTTTGAGAATTCCAACAATAAAACATTAATCTTCATAAAAAGTCACTTGGCTTTACATTTCAGAGGCCGATCAACGTGTCCAACGTTGTGACTGTGGCCCATCAAGTGCAGACCTACACCCTGGAGGCTGCGGGTTTCACCGACTCTGTGGATGTGCTGTACGTGGCGCAGATTATGGAAAAGTTTATGGAATATGTCAAACAGCTGAGAGAGGTGAGAAATATTTAATATCAAATAAAACAAAAGTGTGTTTAAAGATTCCATTCTAATGGTGTGAACTTGTGTGTGCTTGCTCCAGCTGTCGGAGATAATGGTTGAGATGGGGAGCAACCTGATGCAGGTGGATGATCAGATCCTCACTCTTGCCCAGAGGGAAAAGAGAACGTGTAGCTCCATCATCTACTCTCTGGAGACTTTGGCCTGGCCTCAGCTGCACACTCACGCTCAGGACTTCTCTGTGGTAATCTGAATTTTTATTAAGTATTTGTGTGTATTTCATTACAGCTCACACGGTGTAATTGATTGCAATGTTTGGAAATGTTGTTGATTTCATATTAGGAGACATGCATGAATCAAAACGCAAAATCCAATGCAATTTTACATCTTTCTGGCATCATTAATTTGAAAAACATGAGTGTCTGGACTTATTTCATATGATCAATGTATTAAATGATTTCGACAGGTGTCTAAGAACATTGTGATGGAGGCCCACCTAGTTCGAACAGCTCATTTCACCGGCATGACCTGCACTGCGTACCATCGTCGTAAAACGTCTCTAAATCGGCCTGGAGTGGAGCTGACAGACCCCACCAGTGAACAACAGCTTCATTTCCGCTGCAGCACTGGCTCCCATAACACCTCCCTCAATAATTTCCCCCTGAAGGTGAGGGTGCTACATACTGCTTCCTTAACAGCACGTTTGATCTATTTAGTCTAATATTAGGATTGGAAAGTAGATTTCAGAGCCAAATATTAAAGATTTGTATCCGTTTTACTGTTTTATGCAGAACTCCGTAGCTCTGGCTTCTGTGACTCTTCCAGCCACTCTATTTCCACCTGATGCTGCGGCTGATTGTAAACTGCAGTTTGTAGCTTTCCGAACAGGAAGCCTTTTCCCTCTGTTACTAAACTCAAGCAACAAGGTTGAACACTCCAGCAGAAGATGTGTGAACTCTCCCGTCATCTTTGCTGGCCTTAGTAAGAAATGATATATTTTTAATTTTTGTTTTGCACATTTGGGAATCGTCTCCTAAAGTAAGTGTTGGCAGTCATATGTCCTTTTAAAAAATGCAGTTTCATCTTTTCTCCCAAACTGTGACAGATGGTTGTAACATGTGGAACTACTCTGAGCCGATCTGGGTGTCCCTGCGTCACTTGTCTCCCGGTTCAGATGCAGTGGCAGCTCAGTGGATGCCGAGGGGACCTGAGAGTCAGGGAAGCTGGAGCCAGGAGGGCTGTCAGCTTGTCCACAGTGACAGAAGCACCTCAACAATACGCTGCTCCGTCCTCAGCAACTACGCGGTGCTTCAGGTGGGGGAGGAGATTTTATGATCTAATCATTTAGGATCCTCTAGGTTAGACTTTCTTCTGACTTGTGTGTGTTTTAATTTTCCAGGAAGTGCCTGACTTTCCACACCCCAGCCTGATTGCTGTCAGAGTGCTCCACCCTGTGGTGTATGCATGCACTGCAGCACTCCTGCTCTGCCTCTTCACCATCACCATCACACACATACTGCATCACAGGTACTGACGCGTATATGTGTAGCAACCTTTTTTGATGTTGCTATCTGTCACATCTTCTTATGAAACTTCCCCGTGATTTTACAGTTCAATCATCATATCAAGAAAGAGCTGGCACACATTGTTGAATACCTGTTTCCACATCGCCATGACAACGGCTGTTTATGCAGGAGGCATATGCTTAACGAGCTACCCTCTAGTCTGTCAGGCGGTACGTTTTCCATTTGGAAACTGTTCAAAAACGAATGTATTTCAAAGTCGATCAGCTTTTTTAAAAATCTGATCTACTTGTGATACGTAACAGGTGGGCATTGCTCTGCACTACTCCTCCCTGTCTGCGCTGCTGTGGATCGGAGTCAGTGCCAGAGTCATTTACAAAGAAGCTGTGTGGAGAACGCCTCGACAGACGGATGGAGAGTCCCCAGTTCCACCTACTCAGCGACCTATGCTCAGGTCAGTGAGCTCCCCTTCATACACATTCAACCACTGCTTGCACCATGACCACATTGTTTCCCATCAATAAAGTTTATGATCAGACTGTGGGAGAAGTCTTGTTTTTTGCACACGGCCACCCAAGACGAGCACCATCAACGGCAGTTATTGTGCTGAAAAACCAAAGTCCCTCTGTTTTTAGAAAACCTGGGTGGTGGTGGGTAAATAACTGGACAGTGATGTACACCAAAAGCTTTATGGATTTGGAGCTGGAAAGATGACGAATGTGTGCCACCAACACTAAAGAACCAGTGGGAGTTGTCATAAATCTGAGCAGAGGGGATTCAAGGGGTGCACTGTCTCCTTCACAAGTTTCCTTTTGTTCATCCACCCATTTTTCTGACACTGTGATCTTAAAACTGCTAATTTCACACGGTGCCCCCGACCTCATCGGATCTCCAGTCATTCCTTTATTGCTGAGCCAACTACTTTGAGGCTTGGTTGTAATAAATGCCTGACCTCTAGAGTCTATGCTGAACCTTCAGTAGTTGAATGGCAGATCTCACAGTTCAGGTCAGATTATAAACAGTATGTCCAATAAAGGAAATTGCGGTTCCAAACTGATTCCTGTGAAAGAAAATGCTTTCATCTTTTGAATGGGAGGAGTTGTGTTTCACATGTTTTTCTATGTTGTTCCAGGTTCTATTTAATAGCTGATGGCGTTCCGCTTATTATATGTGGAATCACTGCAGCTGTCAATGTAAACAACTACGGAGACAACAGCCCTTAGTAAGTGAATCAGTGTTCATCCATGATTTTGGCTCTTGACTTTGAATTGTTTGGTTTGGTGCTGAAGCCAATAATAATTCTGTGTGAAATTCACAAAGAAGTCCTTGTGTTTCATTGACTCTTCTTTCATTCTTCTGCCTCTTGCAGCTGCTGGCTGGTTTGGCGCTCCAGCCTGGGGTCTTTCTTTGTCCCAGCTGGCTTGGCTGTGCTGGTGACCTGGATTTACTTCCTGTGTACAGTGTTTCGCCTGAGGCACCGTGTGACCAAGGAATGCATAGGAACCACCCTGACCTCTCCTGGGACTGAAGGCCATCCTGCACTGGCAGGAAGCACCAGCCTGCTCTCCACTGACTCTGTGGGGGGACCTATAACCCCAGTTGTGCCTCCAGAGGATCAGTACTCACTGAAGACTCAGTTCTCTGTGTTGGTAGCCACCCACTTCCTGTTTGTGGCTCTGTGGTGTTGTGGAGCCATGGCAGTGTGGCTATCAGGTCACACCAGCTTATTATTCAGCTGTCTCTATGGGATAGTCACAACAGTGTTGGGGGTGTTTCTGGTGGTGCACCACTGCTTCCGACGTCTTGATGTGCAGGCGTCATGGCTGGCTTGTTGCCCCGGCTATCGCCACTCTCATCCCATGTCTGCCTACACACACACCTGCACAGCTGGAAGTGGAGTGCAGACCTCTGAGCAAGGATCTCAGCTCTACATCGGCTGCCATCCACCCGTTGACTCTCATAACTCCTCCTCAGCCAGGTCATCATCCACACCGAGCGGGATCAGTAATGTTGGACCTGGGCCTTGCAAGCTCACCAACTTGCTGCAGGTTGCACAAGACAATCCAAGCAACACGTCACGGGCTCCAACAAGCAACAACACAAGCACTAGTACCGACAACCTCACCAAGCCAACAAACAATGTTCTGCCAACTATGAACTCATCAGCACCTGTACATCCTCAGCGAAGGAAAATCAGTAGCAGAACTAAAGGGAACAGTCAGTATTATCATCGGGGTGAGGGCAGAGGCCACTATCGCCTCAAAGCTCTAAGAACTGCTGGAGGTGGCGGTAGTCTAGGAACTTTAGGGCCTACAGGTTTGGAGCACCTCTACTCATCACATGCTGTTTACAAGCAGGCCACGAGTGAGAATGGTAGCATTCACCACAGCCTCTCAGAGAACCAGGCCAGCCTGCTGACAAATGGGAAGCGGGTGGGGGAATCGGTAGCCACTAGCCCCTCCGAGGGAAGTGATGGGGGCAGCAGCGGGAGCCGCAAACCCTTCCCTCTGCTGCCTTCTGCTGCCAACAGAGTGGCAATGCATGATGCTCAGAGACGATGCTCCAGCAGAGACAATTTAAGAGCATCTGCAGAGCGAGAAACCAAGCGCTGCTCCTACCCTTTGAACAGTGTCACCACCGCTGTGCCGGGGGCCGCTGCCCCAAACGGCACCCTGAAAACCTCTGTGTTAGAGCTTGAGCAGGACGTGAGCAGCACAGACCAGTCCCAGTGCTCTGTTGGGATGAAGAGCGGCTTGTGGAAAAGTGAAACCACAGTGTGAAGCACAGTAGAACATCAATGCATTACCTGAAGAAAAAGACTTGGTTGTGTTCTAATGGTGTCCTAATAATTATATAATTTAAGATATTATCATACCATGGAGGCATCCAGGACCCTAAACTGGTACTTTTGCCTCTGTAGTGTTGTTTGTTTGCTGTGAAACAATATTGTTGTTTTCAATCATAGATTCACTTTTATTTTAATCGCTTTACAAAAAAATGTACCAGACATTTTTTGAAGTTGGCATGCATATTTGCATTTGGTTGTTTAATGAAAGCTTTACTGTTTTAGTTGTAATTTCTCCTATGCAAATCAACTCTAGCATAAAATGGATTACAGTGTAATCCATTCACCAAGTACAGCTATATGCATTTAATCTGAGGGCAAACGTTCATCTGTGAGTTTGCTCTAAGTGATTGTTTATCTATGCTAATATATGTGCATTTATGTTGCTGTGCCTTTGTGTGTGCGTGTGTGTGTGTGTGTGTGTGTGTGTGTGTGTGTGTGTGTGTGTGTGTGTGTGTGTGTGTGTGTGTGTGTGTGTGTGTGTGTGTGTGTGTGTGTGTGTAATAAGAGAAAACTCACGAGTGTGGCTGTACAGAATCCCAGAGTGAATTAAAATTGCTAAGACTTTTGAACTTTCAGAGCTTTCCCTTTTTTCTGATCCAACCTCCATTAAGCCAAAGGGAGAAAAAGAAAGAGGCATGACACTTTGACTACCACCAGAAAACTGACTGTCTCCTATGGACAACAGGAACACCTTCAGTAAAATTTAGGGATTACAAATTGCTTCAAATGAATCCCAATAATTTTTGTGTCATGGCAGTGGTGTTAAAACTTCTCCAAAAATATCAACAAATTAATTATTATGGGGCAGCAGTAGCTCAGGTGGTAGAGCGGGTTGCCTCATGATCGGAGGGTCATGGGTTCAATTCCAGCTCCCGCCAGGGGTATCCTGCTGTTGTGTCCTTGGGCAAGAAACTTCACCCAACTTGCCTGTGCTAGAGGTGGTCAGAGGGGCCGACGTCGCCAAATGGCAGCCTCGCCTCTGTCAGACCTCCCCAGGGCGGCTGTGGCTACAAGCAGCCTACCATCACTAGCAGTGTGTGAAAGTGTCTTTGGGGGTCTTGAAAAGCACTATATAAGTTCAATGCATTATTATTATTAATGATAAAAAGGCCACGCATCTGTTGTTTTACCAGAAAACTTTGTCTGTGGTAACTTGCATAGACCAATGATGTACTTCTGCTTTTAAACTGTCTGATACACCAGCAATTTAGGAAATTACTCAAAAAGGAAATAACATTTACACCAACAACACGTTGTCTTAGTTTTCCCCTATTGTTCTTTACTGCAATCTGGTAATGTTGTGTGTTTAAACATGTTCAGTCTGTTTCACTGCCATTCCCAACCAGGAAGTTACTGTGACTCATTTTCTAATGGAAACCTATTTTAGGCTCTGACAGACTTGTTTTGTCCATGATTCAGAATAACTAATACAGTTTGTCCAAAATGTTTAATTTTATCTGGGTCTTTTTTTAGAAACCATGATTAGATGAATTTCTTATTCCTTATAGATAAAAGGCCGGTTTCATTCAAAATTATTGTGTTAAACTGCTTGACACATTGGATCATTCTGTCTTCTGTCTTCTGTGTACTGAGAGTACACAACCAGTCCAACCAAACACTGAGAAATGTGATGGGATTTAATTTTATTCTGGATCATTTCGCACTTTTGTAATTTTCCATAACGTCATGTTGGAATTGGAACATATCCAGCTAAGAAATAAGAAATTATAAATATAAATATCTTATTAGTGTGTACTTTGTTACTTTCACGACTTTATACTGATTCCAGATAAGTATTTAATAAAACAAATTAACGGTGCGCAATTTCGTACGCCCTCCTATTAAGCGACCAATCACAGCTCGACTTTGAGAAACTGACAAAACCATCAACCAATCAGCGAGGTCAATACAGAGTATGGGTGGGAACCCCCGTAACCTCAGGGAAGTGAACTGTGAAACTTGGTGGGGGAGTAGACGAAGTTGTGTTTATGAAAGCTAAACTTGTGACGGTTTGGTCATGTTTTGTTTGTCTCACTCAGGCTAATATTAGCGATAAGGTTGTTAACAGACTTTTTATCAAACCGATGTTATTAGGGGCCTCCGAACGGTGAACTATTGCGACGTTAAATTTAGCTTCCTGAACTGAAGCTGAACGCTGAGTAACCAGAGGCCAGCAGCCTATCAGGACACCGAAGGTGACGAACCTACCTCAGGGAAGGGTTGATAAACATTAGTGGCTGGGATAACATTGTTTGGTTCACGTTCACGGACTTTTGACGATGTCTCTGCTCGGTCAGAGCCAGCAGTTGTTCCCTACGAGTGTCCGGGTAACGGTGCGTCAGGCTCGGAACCTGCGGGTCAAGGGCAAGAATGGCACCAACGACGCCTATGCCATCATCCAGGTGGCCAAGGATAAGTTCTCCACCTCGGTGGCAGAGAAATGTGTGGCTCCGGTGTGGAAGGAAGAGGCTTCGTTCGACCTGCCGCTCTTCCACCCGGAAAACACTGACCGCTGTACGCTGTACATCATCGTGATGCACCGGGCTCAGGTGGGTCTGGACAAATTCCTGGGCCAGGCTGTCATCAACCTGCTGGACCTTTATGACAACAAGTCCCGCAACAAAACAGAGTAAGTCTCCTAAGTTACTCTTGAGTCAAAATTCACATGTATCCAGTTCAAATAACTAGATACTTTTATCTTAGCGATTTTAGTCAGCAGACAACGCTCAGTAGCATATAGATGTTATTATTTAGGGTATTTACAGTATTGGAAAACAGTGGGACTTCTAAACAAACATGAACTTCCTGGTTGTTTTATCTCTCTTTTTTTCATTTACATCTATCTCCCCAATGAGGGGTCACGCATAAACTGAGCTTTAAGCAGGAGGTCTCCTAAAATAACTATCCAAATGTGATCCTGGTGTGTTTTACTGTAAAATCCAACAGCTGCATTAAGTTTTTAGACAACTAGCACATTACCATAATAACATATTAATACAGAAGTGGGTTTAATTAGTTACTGTGCTGAAAATTATTACATGAAACATGATACCTGCAATGAAAAGATGATAAACTGGATAAAAACCTGACAAATGCTAAAAATCTTTGTTGAAACAAGCATAGATCAGTCTTAACTTTTACTGAAATCAATGGGACTAAATCAAGGTAGCTGCCGAGATTTTATTTAGAGTTGTTTTAGCCCCTGAGATGTTCATTTCTGAGATGAATTTCCTAAATTAAATAAAGTAAAAACAGGTTAGAAGTTTTGGCTCAAGCCTCCTTCCTCTTGTTAGTTTGTGGTTGGGAGATAAAACAAAAACGTCATCTGTTTTTTCTGTCCTCACTGCCCCAACCCTAACGTTCATCTTAGACTTTTCCTTCAGAATATGGTTTGAAGCCAACATTATCACTGACGCGATGACGGAGGCCTACTGTGGAAACTGCTGATAATCCCACACATTCCTCTGGTTTGTTAGGTGGCTTGGAGTGCATTACTCAAACCCAGATTACCATGACACACATCAGGGTGACATATGTTGTTTTGACGTAGGGTGTAAAACAGCAATCAAAACAAAGCTTTTAGCGCTAAATGGGGATCTACACACCTTCTTCTGTGAGAGAAAAATATACCCAGCCTAAAATAGATGGAATAGTCTTGGTGTCACCCTGAGAAAATGTCCCTTGAGTAGTTATTTATTTATTTATTTTTTTACAGCAACCTTCGGAAAAACAGAGTGAGCTAGAGATTGTGTTGGCCCTCTAATCACCCAGCTAGAACCTGCCATAGTTCTGCAATTACCTCATTTACTTGGTTATGTTTGAGTCTTATCTGACATTTTATCTTTTGTTTGCTCAGTGTGCTTTTATTGCTTTATAGCAAAGTCCAGCTCCTTTTGTCCTTGCCTGTGTTTATCCCTCTGTCTCCTGTGAGATCCAGGATGTTCTCTGGGTTTGGATGTTGGTGCTTTGGCCGTGAGTGTGTGGTGTTCGATTACTGCCCCGATTCTCCACTCTGCTGACACAGGGTGCGACATTCAAGACCTTGTTTTCCTGCTGGCAGGGATCCTTAATGTTCTCTCAACTGTAAAAGATGAAATTTTAGCCTTAAGGCCTTTGTATTTCATAGAAACAGAGAAGAATAAGACGAGGAGTTCTTTTATTTGTAATGGGAAATTAAATCATGTAGGTATACTCGTATTTCACTTTGTTTTTGAGGTTTTTACTTAAAACCTGCTAGAGATTAGAATGTTTTTACACACTGTGCTTTGAATGTGATTAATGAAATGACAGTTTTTTTAATAAACTACACTGTTTGACAAGCCAGGTTCAGTAAGACTACAAATTTAATACCTTCAAATTTGTTTGAATGAGATAATATTGAAATAATAATTGTACTTGTATTTTTTAGCTATTTTAACTGTTCTCAGAAGAAGCCCACATTTAGCATCAGTTTAGCAATTCAACTAGTTTTTCCCCGGAGTTTTCCCCTTTCAGAAATTATGATTTTTCAGAAATACGTAAAATTGATAGTCTTATCGAGTGGTAAATGGCCTGTATTTGATATAGCGCCTTCTAGAGTCCTGGAACCCCCCAAGGCGCTTTACAACACAATCAGTCATTCACACATAATGCTGTGATATAATGTAAGCAATACATCATTTTATATTGTTTTTTGCTAAGCATGCCCCCTGCCTCGCAGAGCTCCGTGTAATAGGAAACTGAGTGCCAACTAGAACTAACTAATAGTGTTAGACTACCATTTACATGCTTCAAATTTAAGGAATACCTCAGCTGATGCAGAGTTGATGAACTTTTCATGGACAAGTAAGTCTGTAAAATATAAATATATAAAAACACAGCATGACATGAGAATAATACTTGTAAAACAGCCTGTTTTAGCTATGTTCATTGGCTACAGAAGCCTGTTAGTTCAGTTCAGTTCATTTATTTATCAAGCACTTTAAAACACCCAGCACAGGAACAAAGTGCTGTACAGAAAATACATTAAAACAATAGAATAAACAGAAAGCAGCAAAGAGAAATAAATAAAACACATGAGACATAAAATTAAAACAGCCCAATAATAAGAATAAAAACTAGATAAAAACGGCATTGAAACACCCAAAAACAGCTAAAATAAGTCAAAACTAAAAATAGCAACTGACATCTCACAAGGTGTCAAAAGCAAGGGTAAAGAGGTGGGTTTTCAAGAGTGACTTAAAAACAGGTAAGGAACTGGCCTGTCTTATCTCTACAGGGAGCTCGATCCACAGTTTAGGAGCTGCTACAGCAAAGGTGCAATCTCCTCTAAGTTTACGCCTAGTCCTGGGTACATTCAGGAACAGCTGACCTGAGAGAGCGGGAGGGTGTGTAAGGCTGTAACAGGACAGAGAGATAAGAAGGTGCAAGGCCATGGAGACATTTAAAAGCAAACAAAAGCATTTTAAAATGAATCCTAAAAGAAATGGGCAGCCAGTGAAGTGAAGCTAAAACAGGGGAAATGTGCTCAAACTTTGGAGTGCCAGTTAAAAGACGGGCTGCGGCATTTTGCACCCTCTGTAGATGACTAATATAAGATGCACTGACCCCAATATAGAGTGCGTTACAGTAATCCAGCCAAGTGGTAACAAAGGCGTGGATCACTGTCTCGAAGTGCTGCCGTGAAAGAATTGGCTTTATTTTCGCCAGCTGCCTGAGGTGAAAGAAGCTAGATTTTACCACCGCCCTAATCTGACATTCAAACGTCAGATCACAGTCCACTTTGACCCCCAGGTTTGTGACAGTTGGCTTAACAAACTGGGCCAGGGAATCAACATACACATTGGGGGTCTCAGTAGGACTACCAAAAATCATCACCTCAGTCTTCTTATCATTGAATTTTAAAAAGTTAATAGACATCCAAGCCTTTATGTCATCAAGACGCTGAAGTAATGGCTGTATGCGGTATCCGCCTTTTTTCTGAAGAGGGACATCGATCTGACAGTCGTCAGCATACAAGTGAAAAGCAATGCCATGCTTACTCAGTATAGACCCGAGAGGAAGAAGGTACAAAGAGAAGAGGAGAGGGCCAAGAACTGAGCCCTGCGGGACACCACACAAGAGAGTAGCAGAGGACGACACATAGTCACCGAGACTGACACAAAATGTTCGCCCTGCCAAATAGGACCTGAACCACTTGAGAGCTGTGCCGCTAATGCCCACCCAGTGCTCCAAACAAGAGAATAAAATGGCATGATCCACAGTATCAAAAGCAGCTGTCAAATCTAAAAGCACAAGAACAACACAGTCCCCAGCATCAGTAGCTAAGAATATGTCATTAAAAACTTTTAAAAGGGCTGATTCGGTTCTATGAAAGGGTTTAAAACCAGATTGGAAAACCTCTAATACATTTTGATTTTCTAAGAAGGCCAATATTTGGCTATAGACTATCTTTTCAAGAATTTTAGAAAGAAAAGGTAGTATGGAGATAGGCCTGTAATTCGCAAGATCCTGTGGATGAAGAGCAGGTTTTTTAATCAGGGGTTTGACTACAGCATGTTTAAAATCTTTAGGGACAACGCCTGACATCAGACTATGGTTTACCAGCTCAAGAACCAGAGGACCAACTGTAGGTAACACCTCTTTTAAAAGTCAAGGAGGAACAGCATCATTTGGAGACCCTGTAGGCTTAAGACGACCAACAGTCTCCGTTATAATGGACAGGGTCACTGGCTCAAACCTGCCAAAGACAGTAGAGCAGGAAACAAAGACTGAGAGATCATGAGCACAAGGACAGATTTGAGCCCATGTTGAGGAAACCTTCTCAATAAAAAAGTGTAAAAAATTTTTCACAAGCTTCAGCTGAGGGCTCATTACAGTCAGTAAACGGTGCACTGAGAACAGAGTTAATAGTATTAAATAAAACTCGCGGGTTGTGGCAGTTAGTCAAAATAATGTCAGATAAGTGCTTTCTTTTGGCCTCTCTCTGTCCTTGTTAATAAACAAGAAACGTGAAGTCGCCATCTTAAAAAAAATGGATCGAGAGACAATTTGTGTGATATGCTTGACAGCCACTAGATGGTGCCATCGGATAAGAGAAATACTCTGGAACAAAACTTAAAATTAATTGCGAACTAGCCTTTGCGAACTAGCCTTTATGATCCAAACTCAATGCTGATCCATTGGTAACCCATGCCCATCTTTGATCAGCATCAAAAACTTTATCAATGAAGAGCTGCGTTTAAATTTTAAGGATTCGTTTTCAAACAAATATGAATTTTGTTTTGACTTCATTTGAGTTTCATTTTTTACATGACTACATGCAGGCTGATTGTGAAAATAGTCTACCCTCATTTTCTTCATTAGTCACTGAAAGAAAATAAACAGGAAGTTCACTTAGCATTAATGCACTCACCCATCTTGGCTTGCAACGGCAAAGGCTGTTGTTGTTTTAGCGTCCAGGAAATGGCCGAGAACAGCTCGACTAGTAGAAGCTAACTGTTAGCATTAGCAACTTCACCACACGGCAGAACCCTTTGAGGCTTGTGTTATTTGTGGAGCTGAAACATCAATGTTTCAGAGCAACTGTAGGCAGTGGAAGAGTTACGTTGCTTTTAGCCAGTAAGAAGTGAGATGTCTGAATATCATGATTAATAATGAGTAAGAAATCCTACGTTTTTGCCCCCATCTCCTCCAGCTAACTTCCACTTCCTGAAACCGGGGAGCCAGAGCTTTTTTCCCACAGAAAACAACTCAGAAGGCGTTCCTAAAGACTAGGACCCGACAGAAAAGCTTTTTTGGGACAGATACCGATATAAAACTTTAAACAAAGGCCGATAGCCGAAATAATGGCCGATAAATCTCCCTCACCTAAAAATAAAAAGTTTAAGGTTTTCTCATTTAGTATTCAAGTCTTATTTTTTTTCCTTCCACTGAATTTTCAACGCCTTTTGCTGTCAGGTTTTTTTCTAGTTATTCTTCTTTCCCTTTTAGGTTTCCTTCTTCTTCTTTTAAATTAATTTCATTTATAGTTCCTCCCATGTTCCCCTGCTGTACTCAGCTCCTCTTCATAACTAGTCCTCTGTCATCTCTCACTCCTCAGTGTATACGGTTCAGTTTCGGTCATACTCTGCTGGTTTCAGCGTCCTAGCTACCTGTTTTTATTTCTGTCACCTGATTTTTGGCATTAAAATACTTTGGAGTTTTACACTTTTGTGTTTTGAATCCTTTCCAAAGCTGACAGTATTAGGAAAATAAAAAACTAAGATACCTTAAATGACCAGTATGTGGCAATGTATAAGCCTTATATAAAATATAAGATTGAAAAAAATACAATAGATTTATTCTATTGTAGAGAGGAATGTTTATTTTCTTGTCGTATTACCGCCCCTCCTCCTCTCCCTAGCTGAGAGAGGAGGAGGGACTCCCTGCTATCACAGCGCTTCATTGCCTTGTTGCCAAAGCCCCCCCCCCCCCCCCCCCCCCACCCCCAGCAGCGACAGTGGTCGTGTGAGTTTGAAAAGACTGCTGAAGAAGAGTGGATGAAATTGAGAATATTTCAGAATGTCTACCAGAAAAAGGCCATCGTTACTTACTTACTGCCCTGCCTGACTGAAGGGGAAGCAGTGTGAGCTCTGCATAGAGCGTAATGCTGCGGCAGTTATTCTTTTATTTTTCCGGGTAACTTTTCAATACAAGGCCATGAGGCAACAATAAACTTAGGAAGCATGTTGAGGAGAAACATATTTTTGTCATTGCTTATTTTACCGTTCAACTTGCCACTGACACAACAAATACGCTGCGTGTGTGCTGTGACGGTGGCTCCACCCCCCGAGGAATGGAGCCACACAACATGAGTTCTTAAAGCTGGTGCCATCTGCTGGATAGGTAGTGCAATATCGGCCGTCGTTTTGGCCGATAGCCGATAGTGTTAATGACCCCAATATTGGCCGATATATCGGTCGGGCCCTACTAAAGACCACTGCAAATGTGTTGAATTGACTAGTGAATGAGCTTTAGATGTGGTTACAAATGAGTGTTTTGTATGAAAGGTCAGCTGACCAGCTTCTCCTGGAGGTGCAGAGAACGAAGCGGGAGCTCAGGGGTGATGAAGCTTTCTCAGTTGCAGCCCCAAGCTTTTAAAATGTGCTGCCAATTCAGATTATGACGTCTTCCTCACTGTCGGGTTTTAAATCACTTCTAAAGACTAATTCAGTGTGAGATTGCATCTGTTTTTAGTCTCTTAAGTCATTGTGCATCTTAAGAAAGTTGGAGGATGTACTTGAGTGTGACATTACTGGGTATGACGTGAAGCATATTCTCTAGAGGCCTATTCAGTTCTGGGCCTCGAGGGCCGGTATCCAGCATGTTTTGGTTTTAACCCTGCTTCAGCACACCTGATTTCAATCAGCAGGTGATTAACAGGCTTCTACAGGCCTGATGAGCTGCTGCACAGGCGATTCAACCACTCAATCTAGTGTGTTGGAGCAGAGAAACCACTAAAACGTGCTGTATTCCCGCCCCTCGAGGCCCGGAATTGAATAACTCTGCTCTAGAGTCACATTCATGCTTTCAAACATGTGATTCACACTTTTTATTGTGCAAACAATAAGTGTTTTTATTCAGGGATCCTTATTCTAACCTGATGTCAAGTATATTTACACAACATTAGAATAACCTGCAGTGAAATTACATATTCATGGTGGGTACAAGACTTTTTTTAATGTCGTCGTCGTCTTCCTCCGCTTATCCGGGTCCGGGTCGCGGGGGCAGCATCCCAACTAGGGAGCTCCAGGCCGTCCTCTCCCCGGCCTTGTCCACCAGCTCCTCCGGCAGGACCCCAAGGCGTTCCCGGACCAGATTGGAGATGTAACCTCTCCAACGTGTCCTGGGTCGACCCGGGGGCCTTCTGCCGACAGGACATGCCCGAAACACCTCCCCGGGGAGGCGTCCAGGAGGCATCCTGACCAGATGCCCAAACCACCTCAACTGGCTCCTTTCGATCCGGAGGAGCAGCGGTTCTACTCCGAGTCCCTCCCGAATGTCCGCGCTCCTCACCCTATCTCTAAGGCTGAGCCCGGCCACCCTACGGAGGAAACTCATTTCGGCCGCTTGTATCCGCGATCTCGTTCTTTCGGTCATTACCCAAAGCTCATGACCATAGGTGAGGATTGGGACGTAGATCGACCGGTAAATCGAGAGCCTGGCTTTCTGGCTCAGCTCCCTCTTCCCCACGACAGATCGGCTCAGCGTCCGCATCACTGCAGACGCCGAACCAATCCGCCTGTCGATCTCCCGATCCCTCCTACCCTCACTCGTGAACAAGACCCCGAGATACTTAAACTCCTCCACTTGAGGTAGGACCTCTCCCCCGACCCGGAGGTGGCAAGCCACCCTTTTCCGGTCGAGAACCATGGTCTCAGATTTGGAGGTGCTGATCCTCATCCCAGCCGCTTCACATTCGGCCGCGAACCTACCCAGCAAGAGCTGAAGGTCAGAGCTGGATGAAGCTAGGAGGACCACATCATCCGCAAAAAGCAGAGATGAGATTCTCCTGCCACTTTTTTTAATGTTGATATTTTAAATAAAAACAAATTCAAACCTATTAAAATTCCAGTGAAAGTTTAGATCTGATCTGTAATCGCTGCTGGGCACATTCTTGTGTTTCCAACACAGGCTTGTTAAACATTACCTGTGAAAGTAGAGCTGGCAGCTGTTAAACAGAGGAAACCTGTCCAGCAGGATCAGGAAGACGTCCGCCAGGGACATGCCTCTGTTATACACAAACAAAGCAGGGTGTAAACACTCAGACAGCATAATAATAATTACCACATCACTGCATTACGTCTTTGCTGTTGTCCAAAGACACGCCCTGCTCTGAGAAAGTGTTATTTGACTTTCACATGGATAATTTGACTTGATCCTCCCAGTTTAGGGTGAGACTCGATGTGATTTTAATTCCTTACTGTTCTGCACCTCCCTGCATGTTTGAAAGTGTCTGAGGAATGCTGGTTCACTCCCAGGCCTCGCTTCCTTCCAGAGGAGGCTGTGTGGACATCTGCTCCAAGACACCAAAACATGGAAGCTGCTAAAGTAAAGCTCACCCCGACCTTTACACACATCAGGGTTCTGTAGCCCTGTCACTTGAAAATAACTTAAAGTTGATAAGGTCAACATATTTTGATCAAGAACTGATTAACTGAGATCCACTTGCATAAAATTCCAATTTTTTTTTAATTGTGCTGTTAAATTAAAAGCTGAAAAAGGTTACCCATAATGAGTGCTTCTGCCACAGCAGGAGAGGAGAAAATTATAATTGTAGTAATTACTTCTATGTGGCACCGGTTAGAAAATTTAAGTAACATCTGAAATTATAGTGTTTATACAAATAAGGAGTAAAAAATAAGCTTAGAAAATTCAGAGATGTCAGATTAGAATAATAAATATTTTTCATTTAATGAGTCAGTTTGCATGTTTAGCTTCCCAGAAATGAGTTGAACCAAAACGCGATCGATTACAAAAAAGCTAAATTACAGAATCTTTTTGAAGCTTCGGGAACTGCTCCTGGAATAGTTTCACCTGTTTTGTGCAAAAAGAATATTCAGAACTCATGTTCTTCTTTCCCTCATTACAGGTGGTTCAAGCTGGTGAATAAGGATAAAAAGGAGGACAAGGTGCGAGGGGAGGTCCAGCTAGATGTCAACTTTATGAGAAACAACATGTCAGCGAGCATGTTTGACCTTTCTATGCACGACAAGCCGCGCTCTCGCATCTCCAAGCTGAAGGACAAAGTCAGAGGGAAAAAAAAGGATGGCTTCTCTGACTCTGCTTCAGCCATCGTTCCCTCTGTCAGCCAGGTCCTCACGGACAGCGAGGGCGAGCCCGACACTCAGTCGCTCAGCCAGTCTCCGGAAGTTAAGAAGAAATCTAAACTCAAAACCCTCTTTGCCCCTAAATCCAACTTGGAGCGTAACATGTCTCAGTCCATGTTTACGCTCGGGACTCTCCCTGAGAAGAATTCATCCCTCAGCAGCAGCCGCTCTTCTGGCCTCAATGTTGATTCTCCTGAAGGTGATTTATTATTCTGTATACACGGAGGCGTGTTTGCATTTCTGGCTTTTGTCCCCTGTGCACTGCTAGTTAAATAAGGATGATTTGCATCTCAGCGGTGACATCATGCTTTCCCATTTCTCCTCTTGCAGGAAAAAAGAAATTTAAATTACTGGGACACAAGAGAACAGGCAGCTCCGACAGCAAGGTGTCCCTGGGTGGTTTCTCTTTACTGGGCCGCTCAAAACACAGCAACAGCGACCAGAACAACCTGTGTATCAATGGCAACCACGTGTACACTGAGGAGGCAGAGAGCAGGAATGGATCTACACTCAGTCTGAACACCTCAGAGCAAGGATCTGCAGAAGATGTCCGCAAACACGCTCCACTTGGCTTCGCAGAAAGTGTACCTGTTCCTTCCTTTAGACCAGAATCAACAGGTAAAGCTGTAGTAGAGCAACAGCGCCATCAAGAGGAGGAGAAAAAAAGATTGGCTGAAGAGAAGCGCATCGCAGAGGCAAAGAAGCTGGAGGAAGAGGAGAGATACAAGGCAGAGGCCAAGAGGCTCCAGGAGGAAGAGCAGCGCAGACAGCAAGAGGAACAGGAGAGGCGAAGGCACTTCATAGAGAGTGACGCAAGTAGGAAGAAGCAGAAGGAGGCAGAGGAGGAAGGAAGGATGCTGGAAGAAGCTGAAAACCAGAGGTTCGAGGAAGAACGCCGAAGAGCAGAGGAGCAGAAGCGTCAGGAGGAGGCCTCCATGAGTGACAGGCTGACTTCTCTGTTTGGGATGATCAGAAAGAAGGAGGAGAAAAAGGATGAAGCACAGCAACAAACAAAAGAGGAGCAGAAACCCTCCCCAGCCCTTCACACCGAGTCTGAACAACTGGGCCAACCCGCCTCCAGTCACTCCACTAACCCGTTTGAGGACATTCCCATCAGCTCACACTCTCCACCTGCCAATAATCAAGGTCCATCTGATCACCTCCAGTCCAGCCGTAACCCTCAACCCCCCACGGCCACCATGTTCCTCAGCCGCACTCCTAAAGTGTCTGCAGTCAAGCCCAGGTAGGCCTGCAGCACAGCACACACCACACCAGTTACACCAAAATCACATCAGCTGGTTGTTTAGTCAGTCCATCAGGATCTTGCTTGACTGATGAGAATTTGACTTTCAACTGTAAAAGTTCCCAAAAATAAACACAAAGACGAAAACCCATCCACACTTCAGAAACTCCTGGTTTCTAACGTCTTTACTGTTCTCAAACACTGGTTCTGGTCACATGGACTCTAAAGTGCTTTCTTGAGTTGGCTGAAGTCACAATCCTATTTTAATGGTTGCTGAACCCGTTGGACTGGTTGGACTGGTGTTAGGAAAGAGGCTGCTGAACAAGCTGTAGGCTGAACACAGCTCATTAGGAGTGACCGCGCCACAGTTTCTGTGGCAAAGTCCAGAGCAACTCCATTAAAAGGTTTTCATTTTTAGTTCATTACATTTTTTTTCTGATTGCTGGACCAGCCTTTGTGAAACCGATCAAAATGGTAAGAATGTTGTTTCTGTTACACATCAGCATGTTTTATTAACGTCTTAGAGACTGCAGACAGATAGCCGAGGGCTTTTCACCTATTCATGTGTTATCTTTGCTTTTTGTACACACGGATGTATTATTGCTTCACTGATAATTCAGCCTTTTCTCATCAACCGCTAAAATAGAACCGCCAGTTTCATCATTCATTGTTTGATTTTATGTCGTATTTTTGACGAACTGCTATAGGTTTGGGTTTTTGTGTGTTTTTAAACGGAACATTAATCTAAAGGCTACATTATGTGAGATTGCCTGTGGGAGTTTATCAAAGGAACCTGTTGGCGTGTGAATCCTTCATTTAACTGGTGACGGGTTTTATGTTGTCTGCAGTGACTTTGGTCACACTGACCTTCAGGCCTTTGTTTTCACTCCTTAGCAGATCAGCTCAAGCGTTGGAGTCTCAACCTGCCGCCTCCCAAACCCCCAGTCTGTCCTCAGCCCAGTCTGAGTCCACTCTCTCTAGTGTTCCATCTGAGGCCCCAGATACGTTCTCCAACCTACATTCATCGTTGGCTCCACCAAACATCTGCCAAGGCCTGTTGGGTTCTCCTGGCAGCAGCATTGAGGACTTATCAGGATCTCCACCAACCATGGCAGACCACAAGAAAAGAGCCCTCCTACCTCCTTCTTATCCTGTAAATGGAGCACAGAGTCAAGGAGATCCTGTCAGAGAGATTCAGAACCCTGCATATGTGGAAGATGATGGCTCACAGCAGACCAAAAGGACATCTGTACCACTTCCTGTTTATGAGTCACTCTTTCCAAAGAGACACGGAGTGCAAGGGCAAATCCGATGGGACAACATAGTGGCTGAGGTCAACCAAAAATACCGATTGCGTACACCTGAGCTTATGGGTCCTGAGATGAGTGTGGATGGCCCAGAAGAGCCTAAACCAAGGCCCAGATCATCCACACCACAGAAGAATCCTGCCACGAGGAAAAAGGAGGAGATCAAGCCTGTGTCGACCAAAAAAGTAGCAGCTCCACTTCCCCCCAAATCAGTCTCACCGGTCCCACGATCATTCATAGATTCTAGTCTGAAAAAGAGTCTGAGTACTTCTCCCCGCTCTCTGTCAAGGCCTAATTCAGCCTCAGTCCCTAAATCGGACAGCTCCACAGGTGGGACGTTACGAGATAAAGACAAGAAGACTCCTTCACGTGCAGCCTCACTAAGCCTGGCATCTGTTAACACAACTCCAGAAGATCAAAGGAAAGAGCAAGTCGGCGTGAACAAAGAAGCTCCCACAGCTAAACCCAGACAACGACTTAGTGGTGTGGAGCCAACGAGACAGGAGGAATCCGTCGGGAAGACGGATGGGCGGCCATTGTCCAGTTTGAGGGTGGGCAGTGCGGACAAAAAGGACGACTTTGCTCAGCCTGATCAGATTCCCAGGGCAGATCTTCCCAAAGGCTTGTTGGGACATTTGGATCCTAACAAAGAAGTGAAGGTTTTTGGTAAAGTACAGACTGAGCAAAAATCAGAACAAAGAGAACCTGCGGCAGATGATCCTGATGCCATCTTTAATCAAGAAGGAACAACTGACAGCAGGAGCAGCAGCGATTCAGTCAAACTGAGTCAAAACCGAAAAAACGAAGATGATTCGAAGCAGCTTAGTCCCACTTTTCAGAGGAGGAATTCACAAAGAGGGAAGAGGATCTTTCCAGCCACAAGTCGCTCTGAAAACAAGACTTTCATGTCTGAAGAAGATCCTTTGTTTAAAGAGGCCATAAGCTCAGCTTCAGCTCACCAGGTTTCCTCTACGAGAGATATCGCCGACACTTCTGTCACCACGCAGCCTCAGCCTACTGGGAGAACGGAAGCCGGCGCGTTTGCAGGAGATGATCCAACCAGAGCCCAACATTTTTATGTGTCTTCATCTTTGGCTCCCCCGGGACCCCTCCCGGTGGTTCTGGAGGAACCGGCGCCTCAGACAGAAAAAGCACTTTTGAGAGCGTGGGTCTCTCCCTCGGAGGTGCAGCCTGTCAGTACTCAGAGTAGTAATGGAAGTGTTTTACGCAGGTGAGACTGAGCAGGCTGTGGTTCTGATTTACCTGTTTTCACCATCCTGCTGCTGTTCTCAGAGGTCATCTGGTCATTGGTATTTATCTGTGGTGCTGCTGTCGTCTTCAGCTTAGAGTAACTCTTCTGGTTTTTGATTTTTTGTTCTGATTAAAGGACTCTGGAATCTCTTTGAAGATAAAAAGGCACTCAGTGGCATTCTTTAACGAGTCCATATTATGCTCGTAGTTCTGGGTTTTTCCCATCCTCTCACCGTCTCTTTTCTGCATCCCAGTCTGATTACAGAAGACGCTGAACTGTGATGCAGCTGGTTGGTTTTTTGTGTTCTTGGTTTAAGAAAAACTTTAGAAACGGATCCCAAAAACAATCTGGAAACTCAAAAAGCATAATATGACCTCTTTAATCCTTTGATTTTAATATTTGATTTCTAACCTCAACTTTCCACTAACCTGATTGAAGTAGTTTTTTTATAGTAACTTATATTTGTTTTTGTTTTGTTTTTCCTGCAGACCTCACCCTGTGAAGCCCTTGAGCCCAGCAGACAGCCAGCATGCTGCCACCAGTCCTGCTGTGAAAGACATAAAGGTTTGGGACACCACTCTGGGAAAGACTAAGGTAAATTGGCCTGCCATTAGTTAAAGACTTGGTTGAAAACTGTTAAAAAATATTCTTAATGGGAATTATAGCTTGAATTAGTATTTTTTTTCCTCATCATTCACCAGAAACTAAACAGAAAACACCCATTGGTAGCTCCTGATTTTTATATTTTATGTTCTAAAGTACCAAAAAAACTTAAGTAGTTTGTTTTTCATTGACCTGATTCATATTTAAAACAACTCCATCTGCTTTAAAGGATGATTATGTGGCAGGAAAGATGGGCAAACTTTATTTTAAATCATAAAAACATGTTTTAAAACTGGAACTGGAGGTTTTAAATGTAACCCTGGATCGCTAAAAAAGCATTCATGCATATGTTTTCTCCAGATATGAGCTGAAAAGCTCTATTATCAGTTCAAAAAGAATAAATAACCCAACATGATCACTCTGTGGTCCCTGTTCCTGTCAGGGTGGAGGATCCGGTCCTTACAGTCAGCTGACACAGGAGGAACTGATTTCCCTGGTGGTCAAGCAGCAGACGGACCTGTCCAAGAAGGACGGCAAGATCGCCGAGCTGGAGGAGTACATCGACAACCTGCTGGTCCGAGTCATCGAGGAGAAACCGTCCATCCTGAATTCCCTCAACATGGCCAAGCTGGTGTGAAGGTCCGTTTCCTGAAGACCACACTCCCTGTAAAAGGCTCCGCTGGGTGTTACGTATCTGTTTTTGGTCGTCTGGTTTTACCACATAAACCTCTTATAAATGCACTTTTTCACTTTCAGTGGCAATAAAGGTCTGAGAGGAGAAGGGAAATTGTTAAATATTTTAACATTTAAAAAATTAAAAATTTTATGCAAATGAATGTATTTGTTGACACTAGGGTACAAAACAATGTTTGAAGACATGTTTTTGGTTTATAAATACCTGATAACATGTTGTCTTTAAGCTGTTGTCTGTTCAGTCAAAGATCTTAAACAGCTGTTCACCTGTCCTTTCACACCTTAAGTCTTATATTTGATGTGTTTTTAGGACAGCTTATTTTCTCTGGTTGTGGTCATCACATTGGAATAGTGTTTGGCCTTTTTAGAGACACGATTTCTGCAGGGTGCTTTTATTTCTGTTTATTTGACATTCCATCGCATTTGCTGCACATTTATTTTATTGTATTTTATTTTATTGTGTTTTGTTTAAACCATTAAATATATTAAATTCTAAAATTGCTACATTTGAATATATTTATGAAGGAAAAACTCAAATTAACCAACAGTAACCCTAACCAGCATAGTTCGTTATTGTGGCTGAATCACATTAACAAACGTGTTTCCTGAAATCCCTTTCTGAATGTGGAACCGTGCCTTTCAGCTCTTGTAGTGATTTTGTGTTTCTGAGCTTTTCTTTATTTAACTAAATGTTCAATGAATGTACTGAAACTCTTAATTTCCCTTCCCTGGGACAAATCAAGCTTTTCATTTCATTTTCATTTCAGCTTACTCAAGTTAATTGGACACTACTGCTGATGTAAAGTTATTACAGAAGGAACTATTATATTTTATTTGTAATAAAGACTCTTAAGTATTACACCCAAGTTTCATCTGAGTTTTTAAGATTGTCTGCATCAGATGATCCCTGCATGGCATTATTTAGCATTTTAAAAGCAATCAGTCATAACGGAGTATTTTGTGCGATTTCCTTGTATTTTACATATTTTTAACCCAACAGGATGCAGAGATGCATGTAACCATGGAAACAAAGCATCGTTTATTGTACACAATGGCTTATTTTTAGGGCCAAGCAACAATGAACAATTGTATTCTGTTAAGTGTTTGTAACCTTTCTTCTTTTCCTGATTATTTAGAACGCAACCATCATTCTTAAACAAGTCAGTCATGTGATAATATGACAGTTTAAAATTTAGTTTTATCCTTTACAAATAAATGTGACTTAAATTCATGACAAAAAAATATAAAGCAGAAAAAGTAATGCATTGTTAAATAATAAATAAAAAAATCTGAAGCCCCTTGTGGCGCTATAGAGGGTTGTTAGGAACAAGTGTCCTGTGTCGTCAGAATCGTCAAGCTTCAGAAAGAAAATAAAGTTCAGAATAAAAATTAATGAGCATGTAGTCATCCCTGTGAGCAGCTCTGCAGTGGAAAAATCAGATTATGTCACTGTTGAAGGCCTTATTAAAATGTTCACGTGCAGACTATTTCATTAGCATATAGTTACTCAGCAAATTAAACGCTAAGCTCAGATTCCTATTTTCAGAAAACATTTTCTCCCTACTGAACCTTTTCCATCCTAAACAGCTCTTTAATAACATTTGACTCTTAAGATGCCTGAAATGACCCTTTGTGTAAACCACAGAGTGTTCTATGCCCTAAATCCCTGATCTTTTCTCTTTTTTTACCTTAAATGAACCAGGTTTTTAATAAGCTGCAAACATATTTTAACATTCAAATGAAATGATGAATTAGCTTCAGCTGGTCACATGAAATTAACAAATCTATGATTTTATATTAAATGATCCCATTTTCCCTCAAGTAACTACTTACAAAATAAAAGCCCATCTCTCCTGTGAGACTTGAATATCATATAACTGCATCAAAAATCAATCAAACCTGGTTGAAGAATACCTGCAAATACATAACACTGTGAATCCCTATTACTGTCATGTGAATATCATGATAGCAGCAATCCACCCACAGTGTTGCATTTTTACATCTATTATACATCAAGCATTAAATGCTTTAAAATTATAGAAACACAAATAATGAGTGGTTTATTCCGGTGTTATTTACATATATGACTTAGAGCTGATAGCACTACCAGCTGAACACAAAAGGGATTTTGAAAAGGAAAAACTTGTTTCCTCATTAGAATAAACTGAAAGTAAGACCTTGAGATGTGCTCATTAGGAGAGGATTTAAGCTCATTGTTCCTGAAATATGAATTCTCATTCCAGTTATAGTCAGAACATCCTTTTCAATCAGCTCTTGGTAGCTTGGCCCTTTTTTATGAAACTTCTTAAGGGAAGAACAATTATCTGTTCAATCTTCTGTTTAGGTAACCTTTCCAACTAATGCAATTATTGAAAGTGTCCCATCTACTTTATACAGAAGCGTTTTCTATGAATTGTGGGTAATTAAAAATGGGTCGGAGCATTCAGTTAGGTTTTCTGGTGCCTCAGTAAATGAAACTAATACAGGAGCTTTCACTGGAGAGAAGGCTGGTTAATTGTTTACTTTTAAAATTTATAGTTATAACTAAACTAACAGTTTTATATTTATCTTCATTTTAAATCAGGATTTCAGCAGCAGGTTGAAATTAGATCTTAATATTCAGTTTCCCACAAAAATCAACATGGGACCTTACTATAATCTGACTCGGTGCTACTTTTGGTATCTCACCAGGTGTTGTTCGCATCATCGTTTCTCCATGAACCTTTATAAGGTGAATACAGATTAGATTGTTAAATACCAGGTTCACTCATTTATTCAACACATCTGCAGTGGTCTCTAATATAACTTAATGTTTTGTAAGTTGATTTCTGTGATAAAAGCTCTAGCTCTCCTGTTTCAGGAACTAGAAGTGAACCAGAGGAGTAATGAGCAGAGCAGGGTTTGCAGTCCTATTTCCTGATATTCACATATCTTCCCTGTGATTGGCTAACAACAATGCAGCTCTAGCCCCCCGACTCATTTTGTTCTGCAACATTACAGCAGTGTTGTAGAGTTGCTAATGCTAACAGTTAGCTTCTTCTAGCCGAAACACGCAATGCTCTCCTGGATGATAAACGACCAACAGCCTTTTCTCTTGTAAGACAAGATGGGTGAGTCCATGAGTGTTTATTTTCAGTGTGACGTAGATCTGACTGGCTTTTTATTATCCGAGTATTTCACCCCATCTCTTTTCTATCGGCGGCAATGCAGGAAATAGGAATAGAAGATTATTTTCATATTTAGCCTGCTTGTGAAACTCAGAGTGACCAATCGTTTTTAAAAAATAAGTTTAATATTGGTTTCCCAGTGAAAGTAGTCTTCACTTCTCAAGCTAAAGGGCTTCACAGAACCACACTGGCTGTGGCACAGTTGTTGGCCGAGATACCGATGCGGCGGCGGCACGTGAACATTTTCCGGAGCTCTGCACGAAAGCGGTCATGCAGCCAGGCGTAGAGGAATGGGTTACAGCAAGACGAGCTCATGGCACACAGGTGACAGAACAGCTGAATCAGCAGAAAGTAATGCTTATCAATCAGATCGATGTCAATGTCGCGCAGAACGTTGAACACGCTGATGGGCATCCAGCAGATACCAAAGGCCGCCACCACCAGACTCACAAGTCGGAAGGTCTTGCGCTTGCGCATGCGCTGAGCCTCGGCCTGGCTCTCGGTGTGGTGGCCCGGTACGACGCAGTTCCTCAATTTGACCGAGATGCACAGGTAGGAGATGCAGAGTGTTGACAGAGGCAGGACGTAGGTAATCAGCAGGGTGCTGTAGGCGTAGGCCAGCCGCTCTCTCTCTTGACCCATCCAGAACTCCTCGCAGATGGTGAAGCCTTCGTTTTTAAACTCCACGTGGTAGGTGTGCGCCACGGCCGGGGCCACTAGAGCACAGGACAGCAGCCAGATACCAGACAGAAGGTATGTGCAAGCCAAGACTGAGATGCGCTTCTTCAGTGGGTGCACTGTGGCATAATATCTGAGAGGAAGAAGAGCAGCCGAGTTAGAGACAGCTACAAAACGATGGGTAAAATGTCATGCATGAGTCACTGCAGGGGTGGAAGAACAACTCCAGTCAGCGCTCACCATCAGCAATCCACACACAAATTACCGTATGCTCTTAAGCGTCGGAAATTACGAATGCTCAAAAATTACTGGAGGACCCACTTTGTACCAAATTGACCGTTTCCAGCCAGAAGAGAAAATGACTTTACACTGGCCTGACAAACATCACTTCTAATTTAGCCTTGCCACTGCTGCCAAGGTCAGATAGAGTCCCACCCAGGAGCAAACATGTTATTGTCTAATAAATAATCCTTCATCTCATCTGTGATATTCATTCAGACAGATTTACATCTGAATACAGATAGCGGATGTCATTATTGGGTAATATCTCTTCAGAGCTGAAGAACATTGTGTCAGCAGCTGGTGAGGAAACAGTATTCACTAAAGGACAATAAGTCTCCACCAAAGAGCCTGCTGTGCACACACACAAAAGCACCCTCAGTATTGTTACTCCCCAAGGCTTTAGAGTTCACAAAACCTTCCATTTCCTCTTATAAATAAAGGATATCTCGATAAGGTTTAAAGTTAATCTCAGTCACTCACCTATCCACCCCGATGGCTGTGAGCGTGAAGACCGACACGTAAACTGTCACTGGCTGGATGAGGTACACCAGGTAGCACATGAAGCGGCCAAACACCCAGCCGTGGGGGTTGAAGGCGTAAGCCAGGGTGAAGGGCACGCAGGTGGCACACATCAGCATGTCAGAGAACGCCAGGTTGCCGATGAAGAAGTTGGTGACGTTGTGCATCTTGCGAGTGTGGCAGATTACGTAGAGGAGCAGATAGTTGCCAAAGACGCCCACCAGAGCCACCAGAGTGTAGCAGGGGACGATGAGCAGCTTGAATGACTGCAGCAGCTCCACACCAGCAAACTGGGGGCTGCGCTTGGAGGAGGCATTCTGCAGAGCCACCTCGAACACCAAGCCCGTGTCATTCGCACCATCATCATGATGCACGCTTGGGGGGGTGAGATCAGCTGCCCAACCGCTGCTTGTACCCTCCATCCAGACAGGATGGTCCTAACCTGACAAGCGGGAGAAGTAACGTTTACTTTTCCAATAGTTGTGTCTCTGGGATAACATGTAGTTTATTTTAGTATTTTGTGGATAAGAAATTAAAAATCAATTAAAAAGCAACTCCAGTTTATCAGGAGCAAACAGAAAAATGGAACCAACTTTTTTCTGGGAGGCTGTATTTGGAAACCACAGATAGATGAATGAATGTTTTTCTTTTTCCCTTTTTTGCTGCGTGATCCTGCCATCAGATACATGTTTGTTTCCTCTAGCCAGCTGCTGTTCAAATATTTCATCAGATCTTCAACACTGAATAATAAAGGGAATCCGCTGCCTGCCTCCCACCTGCTCTGGTCTATCATCCATCCATCCATACTCTGGGCTGTGTTTATGTTCACAGCACTGGAGGTGTTGGTTCCAGGTGAACCAGATTTAGCTCATCTATAGATCTGTGAAGGACACACAGTCTGAGATGCCCACCAGCATGCGCTCACAGGGTTGCTGAGAGTGAAGAAACAGATGACAAAATACGGAATGATGCTTGACGAGCATTTGAAAATACATTATTTATGAGGATGTGGATCTGCAGACATGTCTCTTCCCAGCTGTCTTTGAAATACCTTGACAGCAGTTAAAACATGATGTGATGAACTCAGCCTATGTGTGATTGAAAAGAAGATTATAGTTGGTGCTTGCTTGTTATCATCTGACAGTTTTATTGCTTGTAATTGTTTCTTATGTCATGTTTAATCCATCATTTCTCAGAATGTGGGTTTGATGTGCAGCCTGCAGCATGGACTGAGTCCACACCACAACATCTGTGGAGAATAATGGGAGGCTGGTGCGCGCAGAAAAGTCGCGTTTTTTTGTCTCATTTGTTCTTCCATAACTGAGCCTGAAAGTAATTGGGATTAAGGGAACAGGTTTACCATGAGCAGATATTTCGTTTGGTTGTTATTTTATAGATCAATTGAAATGCATAAACACACACTGATACTTAAAACACTTGAGGTGGTCCGTAAATAGAATTAAACACATTTTCCAACCTTAAAAATAAGACATTATGCCGATTTTGTTTACTTCTACATTTTAATTTGACGCGCGTTTCCATCATCCCTCTTTACGCACCAAACCAATCCACCTCCTCCCCTGCAGTCAGAATTAATCTCATATTCTACATATATTCACGTACCTGACTTGTTAGAAACACTCATCCGATGTTCGTGTTTTTGTTTCCAAACGTAGTCCGTCCGCGCTGAAGATCATCAGCGCGCCTCAGTAGATGCGCGCTGAGCACATTCTGGCTCTCTGCTGATGAGCCGTAGCCCGGCAAGCCAGACTAAATAAATGTATTATTTACTTTGCAAACTTTGCAAAGCAAGAATTTGGTCTAGTTCACTAAGCTAGATGAGCCGCGTCTCCGGACACGAATGCGCTCTCCTAACCTTTCATTAGCCGCTGCACAAGTGCAGAGTGTAATTGCTCATGTGTCAGGCGCTGATAAGCCGCGTGTGCTGCTGGGAGATCAGCAGGTCCAGCTGACTGACTGCATGACAGGAAGGGTGCTTTTATAGCTGCTTAAACTTGACTGACAGCTCTGATGATTGAAGGGGTTTCTGTGTCTTCGGGGTCCTCGAACACAGCGCTCTCACTAAATATTCTCAGAAGGCTGCAGAAATTCACCTTTTTATTTTTCCCTTCCAAGCCAGTGCAAGAATTAGCCAGTATAGCACCCCAGCACATCTTTTAAGGAACAGTGGCGACCCCAAGGGTTGGCAAGGGGTGGCCATGGCTACCCCTAGAATAACATTGATAGGGTTGGATAAGAGCAACACAACTATGCATTCCCCCTGTCCCCACTGCTTGCGAGGTGGGGTGTACAGTCGGTAAAGACGGCTCTCCCTTGCCCTGCCTCCAACATGCCTCCATCTAAAAGGATAGGTTATCCAGAGTTATCTCTGTATGCTGCTATAGGCTTAGACTGCTGGAGGATACACTGACCACTTTCCACACCACTACTTTCTTCTGGAATTTGCTCTTTAACTGTATTATTTCCTGCAATTTAATCTGTTAACTTTATTTTTTCTCTAAGTGTTTTTCTCCCCAGAAGAAGCTACAAGGATGTGCTGCTGAGCTGTGGTGGCCTCATGGAGGGGGCCTTCGGCTTGAACACTGTTGCTAACCATTTAATCATTCTCACTCTCCTGATAATAACATTTTACTTTCTTTGAAACTGAATGTGCTACTACTATTTTATCCATTTAATTATAGATTCACTAGGATGAATAAAATAAAGTTTATCTCTCACCAAATAGAATATTTACTAAGATATCACAATGTAACCATAGAAACATGGTATATATGGTGTGTGTGTGTGTGTGTGTGTGTGTGTGTGTGTGTGTGTGTGTGTGTGTGTGTGTGTGTGTGTGTGTGTGTGTGTGTGTGTGTGTGTGTGTATGTCTGCTCTGTCTTCTCGATCCCCAGTGAGTCGTGGTGGCCTCTGGAGGTTTCTTTCTGTTGAAAGGGTGTTTTCCTCTCCACTGTCGCTAAATGCTTACTTAGTATGAGGATTGCTGTAAAGCCACTGACATCAGTCAGTGACTTGATGCAATTTGCCAGATTCCTTATATAGGAAACTTTTTTCTGATTGGCTTAATGAACTGATCTGTATTGGAATGTTTACTGAAGTGTCTTGAGACAACTTTTGTCGTGATTTGGCGCTATATAAATAAACTTGAATTGAATTGAATTGCTTGGGGGACTCCACGGAGAATAACAGGATTAAATCTCATTAAGAGATATTTAAAATAATATCCCAAAGGTTACCCTCCTGCCTATAGGTCACTAACCATCCTCCTTCCATGGTAAAAGCTAAAGGAGTTGATGTAATCAGAATGCTGAGCAGCCTCAGTGACATTCAGAGATGGAACACTGCTGGCATGGTGGCTGCTTTCTGCAAAATGAGTCTCAATTTATCTCTCAACAAGCCAGAAGGGAGGCAAAAAAAGCCCTGCAGTTGTATGCTGGTAGAGGACTGGATCAGACGAGTCTGTGTCAAAGACGAGATATAGATCCAGATGTGACGCTCTCAGTGTGTGTTTGAGTTCTCAGCACGCTAATTTAAAGCCACGGGAGTTTATTTGGAATCAATGCAGGTAAACTCACCTCTCTTTTAGTCCTGCATGAAGCCAGTCAGAGTCCATTCCCTAGTCGCTCATCAGAAAGCTTCAGTACGCTACAGGCGAGCCAGAGGATCAGCGGGTCTTTCTGAGATCACTGCTGCTGATGTTTTCAGAGGAAAGAGAAAAACATTTGCTTCAAGTTGTTTCCAAACCAGAGCATGAAGGTAAACCCAGACTCCAAGCAATTATTTTGAGGCTTTGATAAAAAAAAAACTGAAGAAATTTTTTCCTGGAGATTAATCTCGAGATTAATTGGCAAGGAGAAAACAAGAAGGCATGCCTGACAGCACAGGGATCCTTCATACATGGTAATAAACCAGCTTTAAATAGCCGAATATCCTTATAAAGGGACAGGAATCGTCCTGTATGAAGACTTGTTACTGTCACTTTTTTAATTATGTGCTGATGAGACAAGAACATCTGAACATGAGTTTCTGCATGGGTTCACAGCAGCTGCTCATGACCCAAAATAACTCTATTGTAAAAAGGTGGAAAACTAAAGAGCTTTGAAAGAAAAACTTTCTTTTTTGACTCAGTTCCCTGAACTTTCAGCACCTCCGATGGGGAGCTCATAGAAATGATTTTAGTGCCATAACATATTTTCTAAAACAGTAATTATAAAAGAACAACATGACATTACAGCTAGACTGTCCTTAAATTCTCAAGGTAGACCCTCAAACTGTAACTTGTTTAATATTAAATTCACAAAAGTCAGTTTGTTTTAGAATAAAGAGAGACATCTCTAGTTTTAATTTGTTACATTAGAGACCATCAAGCAGGCTCTATGGAGAGCAAACACACTCTCAGAGATCGTTCCCAGTTACAGAAGTGAAATACAAGTTATGCATCAAATGATAGACATTTTTGTTGTTACACATTAACACTTCTTGATTTGTGAAACAAACACTTGACTTGTTCTGCAGGCAGGATCATTAAACAAGCCACAGCATGGCATGAGCCCCTCAAGCATTTTTAGAGCCCTTGTCTCCGAGGTAAAGCACCAGCCATGGAAAATCAAGACTTCACCCAACCAAGATGAGGCAGGTCTGATGAGTCACCAGCCTGCATGCACTCTACCTGCTTTGCTTTACTGTGATTGCTGCTGATGAGGGGGGAGAGTTTGTTTTGGGGGGATTAGATTAAGAATGAATTTTTATGTACTTTGTTTATTGTTTTGCCTTTATTTGTCCTTGACCTCCTGCAGGTTTTCCTGTCCAAAACTCTGAATGAATGAAAGACCAAAGCAGCGTTAGAGAACATTGTCCTAAATGAGAAAACATTATTTAATTAATTTAATTTTTATTGAATTCTAATAATGAAATGGTAAATTATGATGATTATAATGTTTTTATTCTGGGTATTAATCTAGAACATTTAGCCAATTTTTACTGAAATATTTTGAAGGAGTTTAGGTCCAACTTCCAAAAAGGTTTTTGTTTGGCTGTTGTTACTGACTAATCAAAGAAAAAGATTTAGTTTAGCCTCCTTTTCATCCATCCATCCATCCATCCATCCATCTATCATCGTCCACCCTTTCATCCATCCATCCATCCATCCATCCATCCATCCATCCATCCATCTGTCCATCCATCTATCATTATCCACCCTTCCATCCATCCATTCTTTCACCCATCCATCTATCTAACATCATCCACCCTTCCATCCATCCATCCTTTCACCCATCCATCTATCTAACATCATCCACCCTTCCATCCATCCATCCATCCATCATCCATCCTTTCATCCATCCATCTATCTAACACCATCCACCCATCCATCCATCCATCCATCCATCCTTTCATCCATCCATCCTTTCATCCATCCATCTATCATCATCCATCCATCCATCCATCCATCATTCCATCCTTTCATCCATCCATCCTTCTATCATCATCATCCATCCATCGATCCGTCCTTTTATCCATTCATCCACCCTTTCATCCACCCTTTCATCCATCCATTCATCCATCCTTTTATCCATTCATCCACCAATCCATCCATCCTTCCATCCACTCGTCCTTCTTCCCAGATTTATTATCCTTCCAACAACGTTTGAGTCGCCCCATCATCCTTTCCTAAATGGATGCTCCATAAGAAACCAGCCTCCAGAGGGAGGTTAACCCCGATGCCTCAATCACCTTCTCTGACTTTGTTCACTGCAGAAGCAGCTCTACTCTGAGCTCCCCCTGGTTGATGGAGCTCCACACATTCTCTCTGAGCCTGAGTCTGGTTGTTTTCAGCAGGAAGCTCATTTCCAGTGGTTGTAGCTGGGATCTACTTCTGTTAGTCATGATCCTTTTGGTACTCTACTTTTATCACAGCAGGCAGGAGAAATGTCCTCATTAGCGAAGACAAAACCCTGATCTGTAAGTCCATCTCCCACTCCATGTCTTTGAATTGTTCCACTTGAGGCAAAAACCCAGAAAGCTTTAAAATGAGAAGAAAAATATGCAAACCTTTGTTTTCTGGATTGCTAGAATTAAACTTCAACCAAGCTTTGGGAAGGTCGCTTCCCCATCACTTTTGTTTTTATATAAAAACTGAATTTAAGCACTAGATTAATATTTAATTAGTGCAACGCCATCAACAACTTCAACAGCATATCTTGTTTGTTGTGTAGATAAATCTACAGGCTCAGATGTAAAGAAACCTCTAGAAAAGGTGTGATTGAATACTTGATACCGAGACTTTTCACTTCACTGGAGGTTGCTTCAGAGTAACGCATTAACAAAACATGCTTTTAACATGTTCTTAAAACACTTCACAGTGGTAATCATAATCATCTGGCACTTTTCTGATTGAAGCTGCAACAACAAAAATCATTTTCAAGACGTGTTTCCAGACAATGTGTTTACTTTCTCAGTTTTTTTTCTCTCTGCGCTCGAGGCAGACTTATTTTGTCACTCGGGGTTCTTTTGACCTGTAAAATTACCTCAAGGAACCTCCAGTCGCGACCCTGATTTTCTGTCTTTTTTGTCTGATTTCTTCCTGACTCGTCTGTTCCCCAGTCCCTGTAGCCTATTTATATGACCAGTTAATCATCATCGGGTCATTGAAGGGAACGGTGGATAAAGCTAAAGAACTGGTCCCTTGAACTTTATGCATTTCAGCAAATTGCAAGACTTTTCAAATAAAACAGTATTTATTAAAGGCCACTGGTTTTCCTGGTAGAATAAAAACCACATTTTTAATAACTACAGTTGAAAAGAAAGACAATCCATGTAATTTTGATGCTCTTCATTCTCCAATTGAAACAATGAGGCTATTGTGTTGCCTTACCGTTTGTTGATAATTGCCGTTTTAGATAGTAAAATGATCTCTTTGCTGTTAACAGTGTTTGTTCTG